TTTACAGTGGATTGCCTGTTGTCGTACTCATTTGCATATGCTGTATATTCATACTTTAGAAATGTTTCACGCTTGGTTTCATACCGAGCCTGTAGCCGCCAAGTGAATGCACACTTCAAGCAAAAAAAAAACGCCTTTGATAGTATACCATATGTGACTCAGCTGAACTTTTCACACAGGAAAACCATGTGCAGCCTCTTGCAAGGTTTTATATGTGATACATTTGTAATAAATTTGGTAAATAACCTTGATAATGCTGTGAGCAATCTTACCCATGAATATGTTGTTATTTAGATTTGATGTTGGTGGATATATTTGAAATTCTATCTCTATCTCCCTGACACAGTTTCGTACCAATTTTGCTTATTTCTAAGCCAATTATAAACATTTTCACTTATTTTTCATGTACTAATAAACAGATTTCGATGAAACTTGGTACATAGATGCTCTGGGGCGTTGTGCGGACTTGATCAGTTTTTAGTTGGAATTTGTGTTTACGAGTATTAATTACCTAATTTGCATCTTAATTAACCAATTTTAAGCTTTTTAATTTGTTTCTCGTGTACTATTAAACAGATTTCAGTGAAACTTGGCACATAGATGCTCTGGGATAATGCGCAGATCTGATTAGGTTTTAATTGAAATTTGTGCGTATTAACCAAATTTAATTATTTTCACACAATTCTCATGTACTCAAACATATATAAATGATCTGGGATAATGAACCGACGTGATAAGTTTTTGGTCGGAATCTGTGCATATTAATAACTTAATTTCCATATCAATTAGCCAATTTTAAGCTTGACCATTGAACAATTGAACAGTTCTTGATACATACACATGTAGATGCTTAGGGATATGCCATATACAAATTCAGTTTAGAGTTCTTTTTTGTTTTACTAATTACCTAATTTGCAATTAACCAATTTATAGGTGCTTCACATCTATCTTGAGTAGCACTGAACAAATTTTAGATAGGTGTTTTTAAATAATCAACAGATTATTTCAGGGTTGAAATCCGTGAATATCAATAACCTGTTATTAATTTCACGTGTGTTTATTAATATGGATAACTAATGTAACTAAGTACTGTTACGGATAGAGACATGTAACCGGTGCTATAATTTGTGTTGTCTGACAAGCTATATATGACCAGAATATCAATTTATCATATATGGTAAATATTTCATTGAATATTTATGATTGTTTTACCATAGCTACTCGGAATCACCCCAATTATTTCTTGCAGTTATATTTTTAAATATTGTGTTTGTTCTTTTAGAAGCACGTTAGAAGTGCTTTCTGTAAACATATAGAACAAAGTCTGTGGTCAAAATTAGACTTATTGCAATGATTTTTCATACAATAAAATAATTTCTGCTTTTGGCGGTGTTCAACATGAGATAAAAGTTCCATCCTTGCGTTCTACACTACAAAATTATCCATATTCCTAGATCTTTAACATGAACATAATGTGTGTATTAACTATGACATAAAATCGTTGATTGCATCTATAAAAAACAATTGGATGATCACAAATAAATAATACGACCCACGTTGAGGTCAACAATAGCGGTAAAGATGGCTGCTGCCAAACAACATCGATCCAGGCATTGTATTCAAAATATCAAAACTATCAGCAAATCATACAATCATAATCTAAAAACTTACATCAATGTTTCCTTGCTTACCAAACATCCGGTTATCACGAATTTAAGCGAATACAAAAAATATCTAGATAGTTCACAAAATGACCTGGTTCTTATCAGCGTTTCTGTTTTTGACGTTGTTGTTTTATGCATTACACTTCATAATTAAAGATTTACAACACATCTTACAGTATCGGTATCATGGGCCTGGTATATAGGTGGCAGGCACATCCTGGATCATCAAGGGTTAATAAAAATGCATGTGTAGCTCAGATTTGATCCATGCCTATGTACGCCTATCATCACCATTA